CCCTGTTGGTGAGCACGACGTCAAGCATGGCACCTCTCCTTGTTGGCTCCTCTATTACTTGCAGAAGGAAGTTTTCTTCCACACAATCGAGGAACCTGCTGGATTGCTTGTGCTGGGCCGTACCGTCCTTCCAACAGATGTCAGGGTGGTTGAAGTCACCCATGAGAACAAGGGCCTGTGAGCGTGAGGCTTTTCCTATCTGCCTATAGAGTGCTTCATCCGCAGGTTCTCCTTGATCAGGCGGTCTGTAACAGATCTCCACAGTAATGTCTCCCATAGCTATATTCCCTTTAACCCTGACCCACAGACTCTCTGTTAACTGCTCACCTGTCCCCAGACAGAGTTCCATACTCTCCAGCCTATCCCTAAGATAAAGGGCAACTGCACCTCCCCGCCTGCCAGGCCTGTCTTTCCTAAAGAGCCTGTAACCTTCCATTCCAGCATTCCAGTGATAGGAGCCATCCCACCAGGTTTCTGTGATTCCCATTATATCATACCCCGTAGATGTGCACACATCCCTAATTCCTCTTCTTTGTTCCCCATGCTCTGGGCATTTGTATAGAGGCATTTGAGTCGAGCTCCACATGAAGCCGACTCATTGGCTGGAGTGGCTGGGATATCTCTACATTGCTCCAGGCATTTATTATAGGTTCTGGCAACTGACTGGGAGTGTTGGGATGGAATGATGCCCCCCTCCCCCAACACAACTAGTTTAAAGCCTCCTTGACCAGTCTGGCAAGCCTCCTACCAAAACTGCTCTTTCCCTTCTTTATCCAGACCAGCCCCCACTAGACCTGGCCTACAAACTTGGGTCCCGTGTTCAAGACACCCAAACCCCTGACTATGACACCACCCTTTTAACCAGTTATTAACCTGGCTAATCCTCCTGGCTTTTTTTAGGTCCTCCCCTGTACCTTGGAGAATTGACAAAAAGACTGCCTGGGCTCCAGAGCCCCTAACCACCTCCCCCAGGGCTCTGTAGTCCTTCTTTATGTTCCTCAGGCTACTACTGTCTATATCCCTAGCACCCACATGTATCACCAGAAGTGGGTAATAGTCCGTGGGACTTACTAGAGCAGGCAGCCTCTCTGCCACACCCCTGGTCCGTGCCCCCGGTAGGCAACACACCTGCCTTGAGATGGGGTCAGGCCAACAGACGAGTGCTTCTGTCCCTTTCAGTGTAGAGTCCCCTACTACTACGACCCGCTGCTTTTTCCTGGCAGCACCAGTAGAGATCTTCTTTACCAGTGCATCAGCCGGCTGTTTCTGGCTCGAGTGCGTTTCCTCATTAGCCCCCTGCAGGACAGCAGAGCGGTTCTGCGTGGGGACAGGGGATTTAGGGGGAAGCCCCTTGCTTTAGATTGTCCTTTTCCTTCTTTTTTTGTTGTTTTTTTTTGTCACTAATTCCCAGCTTCCCGGGTTAATGGCCTCCTTCTTTCATGAAGTAGAGGTGACGCTCGAGGCCCCTGCACAGTTTGGGCCGGGAGCAAGCATTCCTGCTTCCTCTCAGCTTCCCTGACATCTCGCAGTCTATTAACAGCATCCCTCAGCTCAGCCACCTCCTGCAGGAGGACGTCCACCAGGGAGCACCGAGTGCAGCCTTCCCCATTGTGCACCCTCCCCTCAGGAGACCAGCGCAGGCACTCTCTACACTCCGAGCTCTGCACTGCAGCCTCCCCTCTCATCGGCTCTGTCTGGGTGCCTACGCTGCCAGCGCCGGGGCAGGCAGAGCAGAGCCCCCAGACGGGGCCCTGGTCATACGACGAGTGCTCACCATCCCGCTCGCCTGCCCACGCAAACTGCCTCGACCCGCTCCTGGTCGCTCGCGCTCCCTGGGGCAGGTTTTTACCCACTGAGGGCTGGTGCCACTGCTTCAGGCTCTGTCCCCTGTGAGTCCCTGCTGGCGTCAGCTGAGCTGCCGGCTCCCGGGCAGGTCCTGTTGAGGACTCAAGGCTCCCTCGGTGGCTCTCGCCGCTCTGAGTTGAGGCTCCTGGACGCTGATCTCCCCCCGCTCCAGTGTTGAAGGCATCCTCTCTCGAGCTACTCGCCTCACCTGGGGCTCTGTAGGTTGGCTATGGAGGGTTATGGGGCTTTATAGGTTGGCTATGGGGTTATGGGGCTCTATAGGGTGGCTGTGGGGGTTATGGGGCTTCATAGGGTGGATGTGGGGGTTTATTGGGCTCTATAGGGTGGCTGTGGGGATTATGGGGCTCTGTAGGTTGACTATGGAGGGTTGTGGGGCTCTATAGGTTGGCTCTGGGGGGCTATGGGGCTCCATAGGGTGGCTGTGGGGGGTTATGGGGCTCCATTTAGTGGCTCTGGGGGGTTATGGGCCTCTATAGGGTGGCTGTGGGGGGTTATGGGGTTTTATAGGGTGGCTGTGGGGGGTTATTGGGCTCTATCGGGTGGCTGTGGGGGGTTATGGGGCTTTATAGGGGGGCTGGGGGGGTTATGGGGCTCTGTAGGGTGGCTATGGGGTTCTATAGAGTGGCTATGGAGTGTTATGGGGCTCTACAGAGTGGCTGTGGAGGGTTATGGGGCTCTATAGGGTGGCTATGGGGGTTATGGTGCTCTATAGGTTAATTATGGGGCTCTGTAGGGTGTCCATGGGCATTATGGGGTTCTGTAGGGTGGCTGTGGGTGGTTATGGGGCTCTCCCGTGTGTCTGTCGGGGGTTATCCGGCTTCATAGGGTGGCTGTGGTGGTTTATTGGGCTCTATAGGGTGGCTGTGGAGGTTATGGGGCTCTGTAGGGTAGCTATGGAGGGTTATGGGGCTCTCTAGGGTGGTTGTTGGGGGTTATGGGGTTCCATAGGGTGGCTGTGGGGGTTTATTGGGCTCTATAGGTTGGCTGTGGGGGTTATGGTCCTCTATAGGGTGGCTATGGAGGGTTATGGGCCTCTATAGGGTGGGCCTGGGCGTTACGGGTTTCTATAGGGTGGCTATGGGGTTTATGGGGCTCTCTAGGGTGCTTGTCGGGGGTTATGGGGCTTCATAGGGTGGCTGTGGGGATTTTTGGGGCTCTGTTGGTTGGCTGTTGGGATTATGGGGCTCTATAGGGTGGCTGTGGGGCTCTTTGGGGTTCCTATCGGTCTCTGTGGGGCTGAGGCTGCTGTGGGTCACCCCTCAGAAGAGGCCGCACTCGTTCTGGAATGGCTGCACCGGGTCCAGGCCCCCCCCCGCCCCATATGGAGCCCTATAGAGCCCCCGTAGAGACCTTACAGAGCCCCATAGAGCTCCCTGGAAACCTATAGACCCCCGTAGAGACTTGTAGAGCCCCATAGAGATCCTTAGAGCCCCCATAGAGACTCCATGGAGACCCTTAGGGCCCCTATAGATACCCCATAGAGCCCCCCGAGAGACTCCATAGTGCCCCATAGACCCTTAGAGACCCCACAGAGACCCTTAGAGGCCGTATAGAGACCCCATAGGGCCCCCATAGGTACCCCATAGAGACCCATAGAGAACATAAAAGGCTGCCCCATAGGGACCCCGTCGATATCTGTAGCAACCCATGGACCCCTATAGAGACCCCATAGAGCCCCACAGAGTGCCTCATAGCCACCCCATAGCCCCCTGTGTTCAGCCTGCAGGTGCTGGTGGATGCCTAGGCCCAGATGCTGGAGCTGCAACTGGCCCCGGACCCCTTCTTTGGGGTTATGGGGATGGAGCTGCCGAGCCCCATAGTCCTGCCCCAGGTACTGCCCCATAGAGCCTGCGCCATAGCGCTGCCCCAGGTACTGCCCCATGGAGCCTCCCTAATAGCACTGCCCAGGTACTACCCCATAGATCCTGCCGCTTAGCACTGCCCTAAGTACTGCCCCATAGAGTCTGACCCATGGATCCTGCCCCAGGTACTGCCACATAGAGCCTGCCCCATAGCACTGCCACAGGTACTGCCCCATAGATCCCACTGTATAGATCCTGCCCCATCAATCCCTGCCGTATAGATCCCACCCCATAGTGCCTGCTTTAATGCCCACCCCAGCCCCACAGATTGTCCCCTTCAGCCCTAGATCTCTCTCCTTTCAGCCTCATAGATGCCCCATTGAGCCCCATAGATCTCAGTCCCACAGATCCCCCTTTTAGCCCCACAGCTTCCCCCTTCAGCCCCATAGGTCCCCATTTACCCGCATCAGGTAAAGATCTGATCCTCCTACCTTGTGTGTCCCGTGCACACCGTGTGTGTGCAGCCCAAGAGAGTTTGCCTGAGAACTGCCCCAGTCCTGAACCACTGCTGTGGGCAACCCAGGCAAGGAGATGGGCACAGCCCCAGACAGAGCAGGGACTGCGGAACCCCTGCCGCGCTGAATCAGCGCTGTGTGCGATGGTGACCAGGGTAAAAGGTGTGTCTGGGGGATTCAAGGGGTGGTCACAGAAGGAAACACTGCAGTGCAGACGTTTCCTGGCCCTGAGGATCAGTTCCCAAGATCTGGAGTACATCTTTGTGTGCTGTAAAATGTTACTGTATCTAAATGCAATTTGTCATTCTTGAATTGTGTGACATGGTAATGACTATGGAAATGATGAAAAGTCAGGTTTGGCACCCGTTTGATAGGTATATTCTTAATGCATACATAAGCTGAGATAAGCTCAAACAACGGCTGTCTTGCTTTAGTCCTTTGCAGGACATCTTGTTTCTATTCAGGTGGCTGCAATGAAACGAGGCTGGCTCCAATGTGCCATCAGGGAGCAGAGGCTTCCCTGGGACTCCCTCCTGCCATGCATCATTGATGTGTGATGCTAAAGCTGTTTGCATAGAGCACATGGGAACCAGACCTGAGCAAGGAAGGTCAAAGTGAAGTGAAAGCAGCAGAGCTCATCTCAAGCTTTGTTCACAGTTCTGCAACAGGAGCATAAGTGGAAATTGGGATGGTTGTTAGGACCTTGCTCCTTTCTGATGTGAAAATTGTGCAATGAGGAATAACACTTTAAAGAATCTGGTGTTCTCTCTTGTAAGAGAAACAAATGAATCCAGGAATCCCATTCAAAGACCGTATCTCTCAGTGCATTGTTCTGCTCAGAAACATTATTGTCTGCGTTTTTGTTTTTCTTCTTTCCAGAGCTCTGTGGAGAAAGTGGTGGCTGGCTCTGTCTCCGTTCCTCAGGTGGTCCCATTTGGAATCCCTCTTCCAGGGAAGGCTAACCATGAAGGAGATACAAATGCTCTTGTAGAAATGAAATCAGGTCTGAGTAAGAGCTCTGAATCCAGGTAAAAACTTCTGTGTTCATGTGGAACATTGAGCCTCCAGACTTTGTTTGCATTTCATGATGATTTTTATGAGGGTGCATTTCATTAAGGAACTTAGAAAATTAACCACCATGTTTAAATACACCAACTCGACTTGCACTGAATTCTATGCATTCAAACAGTATTGCTGACATATGAGCTGTCTCATACATGGCAGCAGTCTCGATTGTTTTCAAGATCAAGTTCATAAGCCGTTGCATTTTGCTTTGACTGCAAAAACCAGTGTATGAAAGTACAGTATATTTGGTTAATTTCTCATCCACGTCCCCTTGTGCATCATTGGCCTTCACCCACAGCCCAGAGAGCTGGGCTTCCTCAGCCTGGAGAAGAAAAGGCTCCTTAAGGGGGGAGACCTCAGAGCAGCTCCCAGAGCCTAAAGGGGCTGCAGGAAACCTGGAGAAGGGCTTTGCACAAGGGCCTGTAGGGGCAGGACAAGGGGAATGGCTTGAACCTGCCAGAGGGGAGACTGAGATGAGCTCTTAGGCAGCAGTTCTTCCCTGTGAGGGTGCTGAGGCGCTGGCACAGGGTGCCCAGAGAAGCTGTGGCTGCCCCATCCCTGGCAGTGCTCAAGGCCAGGTTGGACACAGGGGCTTGGAGCAAGCTGCTCCAGTGGAAGGTGTCCCTGCCCATGGCAGGGGTTGGGGTTGGAACTGGATGAGCTTTAAAGTCCTTTCCAACACAAACCAGTCTGGGATTCTGTGACTTTGTTCAATACCTTTAGCACTGGATGTAATTCTTAAATGATGAGCAAAATGAACCATAGATTTCTTCAAGTGCCAGACATGTTAGTAAGGCTAAGACTGGAAAAGTAAATTGTGTTTTCTTGGCAGTGTCAGGAAACCTGACCAAATTCAGGTTCCTCTTCATGCTGCAACAACAACCACTGCATCTTCAGGACCTGCGCATGCACCTTGTTCCAGTGCTAACTAGTGCGGTTAGTTAGTAACTACTGCTTGAGTCATAGCTATAGAATCATGCCTCAAACTTTGAACAGTGGCAGGCGTGGGCATATATGTAAGAGCACCACATTTGTACAGTGGTGCCTGTAACTGTCTTCTCTCTGGCTTTTTAATGTTACTGAAAACTAACTTAGTATCTTTCTGGCCTAGTTTTAGTTGTCAGTAACGTCACTCTTTCCAGTTGTCTTCCTGTTTTCTCAATAGCCTTTGAGCTGTAAGGATCGGTACCAGCAGCTGTGGCTATCAGCTTCAATGTTTCTAGTGACTTTGCTGCTTCAGACTCTAACCAGGAAAATACTGAAAACCTCTTGAGAGCCTTAATGACATGATGTGATGTGGCTTTTTCCTCAGATGGCACCATATCTTGAATGCAGACATCTGCTGCCAGTGACTACACCCGCTTGCATTGGATGGGAGTCACCAATAGCTCCACAGATGCAGCCCCAAACCAACATCTGCATAAAGGTAATTGAGAATAAATCTAACAAAAGAGCACTTTACCTCCATGCATGCATGTTTCTAACAGGTGACTTCTGTAAAAATAGTTTGATCCAGCTTTGGTTGCTCTAATTGCATTGTGAGAGCTTTAAGGGTTAGTAGGATTCAAACCACCTTGACTAGAAATAAGCATTAAAGGTAAACCGTGTAAGCTGAGGAAGGCATCTTGAAGAGCAAAGGAGTCAGTTGTGTGAAAGACAGGACACGTGCACTTGTGTTCAGTAGGGAGGTATTCTGTGATTCTGTCATTTACAGCCTTAATATTACTGATCATTTTAAGTTTCTTAAATATGTCCTCATTACTCTGCTTCCCTCAGTTGATTGTAAGTGCTTGGCACAGATGGGCTGGCAGGACTGGGGCAGTGGGGAGATGCCCAAAAGGCTCAAGCGCCCCAGTAGTGAGTGATCCAAAAGTGCTGGTGGGCCTAACTAGACAAAATCTGCCCTCCAGAATGCTCCTTACCCAAGGGTATTGGCCCAGGTAGAGGCTGTCCTTCACCCTTGCAGTCAGGGGAAAGGGTGTGAGAAGGAGTGAACTGATACTGCATGTCCACAACTGGTAGATTATAGGCACTGCCGCAGACTGGTGTTTTCTGGCAGTCCTGATGCAGGTGCAAAGGCAGGCCTGAACTATTTGGTGGCAACCATGAAAAGAAAACAGCAGACTCATGATTCTCAGCTCTGGTGGAATCTGGCTTGTGAGATACAGTGACTGTGCATGGGCACCCTCATGGGGATAAGAACCGTTTTCCTTGCAGACACTGGACTTGCTGCTTTGTGTGAGTGCAGTGGCTAAGCAAACTGGCACTAGTCTATAGAAACATCTGGAGGTATTGATGCTGCATCTGCTGAGGGAACTGTACCGTAGTTTAAAATGAATTGTCAGCAGGATCCATGGATTTGTGATGGACAGGCACTATGGCCTAACTAGCACCTGAAGCCCACGGCACAGACTTGAAGGATCTCTTCTATCTGCAGGGGTGAATAAGCACAGCACTTTGTAAGATCAAGTCCTCTTCTTATTAGTGTTGTTGACAGTTTGCAGATACCATGTGAAATGCATTCTTTCTCTACTTAAAAGGGAATTTGTCAGGCCTGTGGCACAGGAAATCTTCACCATAAACACTGTGTGACTTGTGCAAGCAAGCTGCTTGAAGCACAGATGCTGAGGCTTCTTCCATCAGTCACAGTAGGGTTAATCAAATCAAAGCACAACATTCTTTTTCTCTGGAAAACTGAAGTCATAGCCCTGTGTCCCTGTTATAAAAGCAGAGATGCCCTCCCTCATGGGCTATTCAAGGCCCGTACTCCCACAGATCATCCATCACAAACGTCCAGCTAAACAGAAGCTTACGTTTGAGTTTCTCCTGTGGAATTCAGGATTGTTTGTGCCATTATGAAAGCTGAGAAGGCTCTTAGAAAATGGGTAGTCTTGGCTCCAAGGGAGTTTTTTTGTGTTCAGATTATTTTCTATTGCAGTAGAAAACTTGAGTGTCTACATCAGGAAGGCAATTTTTGTGGTTTTCAATTATTTTGTGAAAATATTTTTTCATACTATTCTTTTAATCTCCATTTGCATCTCCATCTCTACGTGCATACAGCTCCTCTACTTGGATTTGGCTGTGAGCGTGTAATGGATGGGAACCTCGCTGAGAATTGATTCCCTCTCATGACTAAGAGACATAACAGTGTGATTTTGTCACAGTGTGTTTCGCAGAGTGCATATGTATATGTTCATGGTGACTGTTTGTCAGAAAGAGGCAGGAAACCATGAGGGTGCAGCTGTTTTAAGAGCTTCCCACTTGGGCAGGCCGGGGCGCCTGGCCAATGCTCTGGGTGTGGCCAACACTGAGATGATGAGAAACTGCACGGCCCCACGAGTAAACAGTGACAGCTGGCATAAAGCCCCTTGTGTTTCTAAGGGCATAAAAGCAGGAGCCTCTTGTAGCCAAATCTGAGGCCTCACCTGTGGGTGGATGCGCCTTGTAGGAACTTTCCCTGTAACCTGCTCCCAGCATCAGCTGCAACAGGGCTTTCCAGCTGAAGTGTGGGCCTGGAGGATGGTTGGGTTCTGACTGCTGATGTGTTTCTTCAGTCTCTGTTCTCTCTATGCAGTATTGATCTGGTGCATTGCCAGTTGTCCTCTGTACTTTACTTATATTTTTATACACAATTTGTATTATTTTACTTATTTACTATACAGGGATATCTGCCCAGTTTGCTTTAGTGTGCTTGTTTCATCCACTGCATGATACATAGCTAGGGTGTGATCGTTTTGTTGAGTACCCTGCCTGTCAGCAGAACACTTGTGTACCCAGCAACCTCCCTGCCTCTCTTACAGACACCAGGTCCTGCTGCTTTCCACAAGGTGGAGCTGGACATCTACGGAAAAGGACCTACCATGTATGTACACGATGGAACCAAAAGCAGCCTTGGAGGAGACAAAGCAGGGAAGCCAGGGCCAGCAGACTACCGCCCAGGAAAGGTAAGGCAGCCTGCCCACCTCTCCTCCTCTGCTTCGCAACTACCAGCCTTTGAGCATCCCCACCTTCTGTTGGGGCTTCTGAGCACACGACCACCTTAGCGCAGTGACCAGTCACAGGACAGCAGGCGTGCTCTCCTGTCTTGGCCCAAAGCTGAGCAGAGGGAGGCCAAGGAACACATCTTTGCCTCTCCACTAGCTCAGCTGTTAATTAATCTCAGCTATAAACATCATGCAGGCATGGGCTTAACTTTATTGATGTTTGCACATAGACCTGCAACAAAATAAAGTGATTGAAATTGAGTGAAGTTTCTGTCAAGTGACAGCAAAACATAAAATAAAGCAGTGTGAGGAGGGGCATCTGTAGCAAGGATGGATTTTATTGTTTAAGTGAAAATCGGATGTTATGGGCCAGTGGTGCCCTGTGGCAGCTTCTCACAGCTGCAGCTAAATGACAGCTGACACAAAGGGCTGTGAGCAGCTGTAGCCTGTTAGGAGCAAGTGGAAGTGAAGCCAGAGGTAGTGTATGTAAGGAATGGAAGGAGAGCAAAGACAACTCCTAATTCAAGGGTATTGCCAAAGGTTAATGTTGCTAATTCAGGCTGTGGCTGATGACAAAGGCCGTGGAAGCAGTCCTGGCTCAGCTGGAGGAGTTCACCGTTGATTGCTCACATGCATGGTGTGTTTGGGTCACTCCTAATGCTGTCTCTTGTAAAGCCAGTTTGCTTCAGATGTCAAAGGGAGGAATAGCAGAAATGTATGAGGACTTGAAAGGTGAACAGTGGAAGGGAGCTCAAATTATCTACCTGTGAAAAGGATGAAAAGGTAAATATTAAGATAACAAAAGATCCAAGTGATCTGAGTTTTTTTTCTTTCTCCACCTGTGTTTCTCTGAGAAAATAATATGCTCCCCAACATAGAGCTTTCAAAGAAGTGTGTTGGTTAACCGGTGCGTGGAACCAGCTGTGGAGTGTGGCAGACATGCAGATATGACTAGCATAAGCAACTGTGATTGCTCAGAGGCCTTACTGTTTCTGCTTGAGTCATTCTTCTGGGTACTGTGGACCCAGGTGTAGCAGGGATGCTTTATCAGAAATGAGTTGATATGAATCCACCCTACCAGTAGTTCAGTTTTATTAGAAATGAAGGTCACTGAACATTGGCTGGTCAAGGGAATATTAGCCTCGAACTTGTCCAGACCTTGAGAAAACTTCATAAGTAGTGATCACATTCTTGCCTGGTTCATATTTGCATGACTGTACTGAACTCCCCAGCTGCAGGTCTGTCCATAAATTGCCCCCTGAGCTTTCTGTGATAATGAAATCAACACTTTAAATGTGGACTTCTTAACCATAACCTACTGATGTTGTCAGATCTGATACTCATACACAAAGTGGTTAGGACTTATCCTCTATTAATGGAAGTTTTTCCAAAATGTTTTGCTGGGTTTCTAGTGTAAGGAAAGCAATAGAAAACACTGTTGGCATATATTGCCCCTGCTCTGCAGCCCGTTGAACCCTGAGGCAACTCTTACATGTCAACAGCAATAGAAATTACTACTAGAAAAACAGCACTAAGGGCCAGGTACTGGTGTAGGAAACCCCCTTGCTTCCAGAAACTGGTGATGTTTTTTCAAAATTTTTACAGTTTTCAGCAAATGATTTATCAGATGCCACAAGTTTAGGAATAATAGTAAGGTAAATGTGAATTACTGGATCAGAGAACCTGGAGTGTCTTGCAGGGCATGGAGAACTTTAATTTTACATCCAAAAGGGATAGGAAGTTTTATATTTATTTTTCTTGAACTTTGATACAAATTGTTATTGTTACAGAGCTTTTTTCCGGATCATATGATACCTTTTCCAAGTGAGACCCATGCAGCTGTAAGCCACTCTGGGATATTACAGGTGTGTAATCTTTGAATGAAGATGAGCCAGCATAGCTTAGAATTTCTTATTGCCTGTTTTGTTTTTTTGAGAGCATAATTCTTTGCCACTGTTGGATCTGTTCCTAGGTTATGAATATCTCAAAATATGGTTAATATTTTTTTCCTCATGAGATATGAAGTGTTGTGTCCCTGCCAGACAGTTACTGTATGACCGCAGTTGGGAACTTACGCATTCTTTCAGAATCACGGAGTGTCAAAACAGAAGATGAAGTAGAAATGGTTAATGCCTTTCTTGGGTATTTCAGGTGAAAGACCCTGTTTCCTTAAAAAGGTGGAGTGCTGCAGTACTTGGCATATAGTTAACAGCAGGCATTGGTAGGATAATGAGGAAATGGTAATGTGATACAACCGGCTATAAAAAAAGGCTTAAAAGGTTAAACTTAATGAGTAGAAAATTCAGACTGACTAGTGTGATTTGTTAGCTGGAAGGCTACTGTAGCCTTTGGGAAAAAATAAAAAACGGTAGATCACTCAGTGTTAGTCATCTTTAAGTGGACACAAGATTTTAACTTACAGTGGGAATAGATTCACAGAATGACCATATCAGGGATCATCGTCTTACTTCCCAAAGGGGTGAAAAATGAGTAATAAAGGTGGAAACATACTCATCACTCTTGCTTGCTTGTCACTAGAAAAATTAATAGAAGAACTTTCACTGGTCTTAAGACAACAAGCCTATGTGTGAGTTTTGGGGATAAAGACTGGAAAGGCAACATAAGAACACAAGATTTTAAAGGTAAAACTAAAATATTAAAGCTAGGTTGTTGAGCGTTTTTTTTTAATCGTATAAATTCTACTCTAGCATCTGCCAGTAAAGGAAAAACATTGAACAACCAATTCTCAAGACATTCCTCTGTATTAAAAAGTTATATTCTCATAAAAATGGATATTTAGTCAGGAGGTTAAGCTAACCCCAAATGGATTAAAAATGTTTCAAATTAAATATAATTGACACATACAGAACTAGATTCTGTAAATAATTTTTACAAACCTAAATAAAAAGAATGAATTTCTACAGATGCTGCATATCTAATGAAAATTGGTTCACTTTTGCTACCCAAATATCAAGTAGATTTTGCAGTGTACCATAAACATTTGATTTAGATGCTCTTGCCCATATACGATATACAGCGAATGTGCAGAGCTTGTGGGTAAGATTAAGAATCATTCTAAATAGGCAGTGGTTACACCCCATTTTGATAGATGGAAAAATCTGTTGTGAATGCTCCTCTGTTGCTGTTTTATGGTGCATTGTCTGTTTAATTGTATTTTGTTCAATAAGACTTAGGAGGCATGAGGCAGAGAATACCTTTGTGAATTGTGCAGTCCTCACGCACGTTTCAGCAGAAGCTGTTGGGTCAGTTGTTTACAGCCAGTCGCTATATCCTTGGAGACTTTTGCTAAGACAAGTTAACAGTCGTGGTTATTATTTGTGATGTGCTTGGTCAAGTATCAAGAGAGACATTAGTTTTAACTCAGTGCTTACAAGTGATGAAAAAATCACTTCTGATACTTTCATAGTTTTTTGTGGATTGAGCGGTGAGCGAGTAAAATATTTTTCAAGTATGTTTTTCTTGACTTTCATTGAAAGTGAGTATTTTGGCTGATGGCTTTAAGTCAGAACATCTGAATAGCCTCAGAACAAAAAAACAGTTTAACTGTCTGCTATCCATTTAGCATGTGCTAAGTGAAATTGCTAGGTCTGACCTATATCAAATGTGTGTGCCGAAGAGCGGTTTGACCTGTAGCGTAAAAATAAAGTGTGTCACTATTAGAATTAGAAGCCATATTTATTAGAATATGGTTTCTCTGAGACGGCACTGTGTATACATGTCTAGTGGTAGGCGGTGTGGGTCATCTGGAAGACTTGCTGTAGGCTATCGTTGCAAATCCGGTGCTTAAAAACATTTCAGAAAGGAAGGTAGCATGAAGCTCTTAATCTGAGGCCTCTCTCATTCATGACAGCATTTCCAATGAATGGACTGCACAGTCTAGAGTGTTGTCAGAACTGAGTCGTTAGTAGGTGATATCCTACCCTCACTGAAGTCAATAAGGTATTGGTGGTTTTTTTTTTTATTTCCTTTGAAGGGTCAAAATTTTATCCTAGATTTCTTTCTTCCCCCCCCCTTTTTTTGTTGGGTTGGGTTGGGTTGTTTTTTGTCTGTGAATAACATTTCTCCAATTTTTAATTTTGGAGGTTTTTATATTTAATTGTATTTGTAACATATTTTTTTTCACTATGCAGTATGTCAGTGTTTTAAATTTAACAGTGACACCTTCAAAAATAGAAGATTGAAATTACTTGAGTAATCACAGTTCTTTCTGGCTTTGTTTTTAAGAATAAACCTATTCCCCTCCCACTGCCCACTGCTTAATAGATGCAACTGATATTCAGGTTTGGTCGGTAGACTTGAGGTTCAGAGTTCTGTTGGCTGATTTCGCAGCTTCTTTCTAATAGCTTTTTACATGTAATGTGAATACGTTAGAAAAAACTATTGTAGACAGCACACGTCCAACCTATCTTCCAGAGGAATAAAAAGAACCTTGCACCTGGTGTAGGATATATTAAAGAAGGGAGCACATGCCTTTCCTAAATAAGCATAACAAAATAAATTTTATATATGCAAAAATCAAGTTAAAGACACAGCAGGGTTACCAAGACAGGCACTCATCCTTTTGTGAAATGTAGAATTCCTGGTAGTGACTTTTCCTTTTGGCCTTCCCCATTGCCATCTCTTGCCCCACTCCCCCATGTTCTGAGTTGTTCTCATTCTCTGCCTTCACAGATTTGAGAGTTAAGCTTTGTTTCTCTAACCATTCTGCCACAGAAAGTCTCTCTGTCCCTGAGCAGTTTCCCATCTGATTCTGTTCCAGATTTCAGGCTGAAATAGCCGTGCACAGAACTTCAGTCTCTTGTCAATCTCCTCGGCATGTTCCAGTCTGCCTTTCCTCATTTTCCATTCTAGGTTTTTCTGGCCTTTCTGCCAGTCTAAAGCTCTCTGACCGACTGACGTCAACAGGAGACAATACTGAGAGTCAGTAACAGCTCTTCACT